CCTCCCAAGCGCTCCCATTGGCTCCCCGGAGCACGGGAACTTCCGTGCCTCAGTTTCCCCATTTGTGCAATAGGCGCAATGGCGGCAGCGGGAACACCTGGCCGGGCAGAAGGGGCGTGGCCTGGACAGTCGCCCCCTCTCTGACCCCCCCTCAAGCGCTCCCATTGGCTCCCCCGGGGAACAGAAGCCCGGAACAGAGCGCGCGAACTTCCGTGCCTCAGTTTCCCCATTTGCGAATGGGCACAATGGCAGCAGCGGGAACGCCGGGCCGGGTGGAAGGGGCGTGGCCTGGACAGTCGCCCCGCTCTCCGACTCCCCCCCCCACCAAGCGCTCCCATTGGCTCCCCGGAGCACGCGAACTTCCGTGCCTCGGTTTCCCCATTTGCGCAATGGGCAGGCTTGGTGGGGTGGGGGAGTCTGAGAGGGGGCGACCTGTCCAGCCACGCCCCTTCCGCCCGGCCAGGGGTCCCGCTGCCGCCATGCGCCCATTGCACAAGTTGGGAACTGAGGCCACGGAAGTTCGCATGCTCCGGGGGGAACCAATGGGAGCGCTTTGGGGGGGTGGGTCGAGAGGGGGCGAGCGGTCCAGGCCACGCCCCTTCGCGCCCGGCTCCGGCGTTCCCGCTGCCGCCCATTGCGCCCATTGCGCAAATGGGGAAACGAGGCACGGAAGTCGCGTGCTCGGGGAGCCAAATGGGAGCGCCTTGGTGGGTGGGGGAGTCGGAGAGCGGGCGGACTGTCCAGCCACGCTCCTTCCATGACCAGCGCAGGCGTTCCCGCTGCCGCCATTGCGCCCGTGCACAAATGGGGAAACCGAGGCGCCACGCGGAAGTTCGCGTGCTCCGGGGAGGCAATGGGGAGCGCTTGGGTGGGGTGGGCGGGTTCGGAGGGTGGCGGATTTCCCAGGCCACGCCTTCCGCCCGGCCGGCGTTCCCGCTGGCCGCCATTGGGCCCATGCACAAATGGGGAAACTTGAGTCCCCCCACGGAAAGTTCGGCGTGCTCCGGGGATGCCAATGGGAGCGCTTTGGGGGGGAGGGTGCTGAGAGGGGGCGACCGTCCAGGCCACTGCCCCGGCGGACAGGGGGGGACCCTGCGGTCCCCGCCACCCGCCACCCCCGCACCCCGCGACCCGCGACCGACCGTTCCTTGCGCACTCGGAGGGCGCACCCGCTACTCGAGGTTGTGCCAGTCTGGCACTGGCAGCCGCTTGAGCGTGCGGTCGGCGGTCGCGCGACTTGCGCTTGTACGCGATGAGGACGGCGACTGATGACCAGGAGCAGGAAGGCCGCGCCCCCGCCGATGGCCACGGCGGCCGGTCAGCGTGAGCAGGCTGTCCAGTACACCTGCAGCGTGCCCGGCGAAGACTCGAAGCCGCCGCCCGCACCTGCAGGGGTGGGGGGACACAGGCTGCTCAGAGACCCGCCGCCGGGAGGGAGCCGAGGCGGGAGATCGGCTGGAGGCCGGGAGGTCGAGGCCGGCCTGAGAAGAGCGAGGGACCCGTCGCTGTACTAAAAAATACGAAAAGAAATCAAGGGCACCTAAAAACATACAGGAATAACTGCAATCCTAGGCATACGGGGAGGCCGACGGCGGAGGATGGCTCAGGGGCCCGGGAGTTGGAGGCGCAGCCTGAGCAAGGAGCGAGAACCGTCTCTACAAAGAAATATAGAAAAAATTAATGGCCAATTAAAAAAGTATACATGAGAAGAAACGAGCCGGGCGTGGAGGCGCATTGGCCTGGTAGTCCAGCTACTCGCGCTAGGAGGGCCGAGGCCACGAGGTCGTGCGCCGTGGGAGGCCAGCGACGCTTGGAGCTGCCGCGCTTTGAGTTAGGCTGACGCCACGGCGCTCACTCTAGCCCAGGCGACAGAGCGACGTCTGGTCCGCCGAATCCAAACCATGGCCTGTGTGTCCGGGGATGGGCCGGCGGGAGGGACCGAGGCCCAGGGAGGAGGCCGGGCAGCGAGGGATGGAGGGAATCCCAGGGCGGAGGCGGGCGGGAGGGACAAGGGGGGAGTCCGGCTGGAAGGGCCGGGCCGGGGAGGTCGGAGAGAGTCCCGGGCGGAGGCCAGCGGGAGGGACCAGTGAGGCCCGCCCGGGCGGTGGCCGGCGGTGGGAGACGGGGAGGCCCAGGGAAGGAGCCGGGCGGACGGAAGGGATGGAGAGGAGGCCCGAGGGCGGAGGCCGGCGGGACGGGACCGAAGGTCCGGGCGGAGGCCAGGTGGCAGGGCGAGGCCCGGGCAGGAGGACGGAGAGTCCCGGTGGAGGCTGGGCGGCAGGGATGGAGGCCAGGCAGGAGGGACCGAGATCCCGGGGCGGAGGGCCCGGGATGGGTAGGGGATGGAGGGAGGGAGGCCCGGGGCCGCGGCCGGGCGGAGGGATGGGGAGCCCGGGTGAGGCCGGGGGCGGGAGGACAGAGGGGAGTCCGGCGGCGGAGCGGGCGGAGGTGCGGAGGGAGAGCCCGGCGGAGCCAGGCGGGAGGGACCAGGGAGGCCCGCGCCGGGCGGAGGCCGGGTGGGAGGACGGCAGGCCGGGGGCGAGGCCGGGCGGAGACGGGAGGCCCGGGGCGAGGCCGGCGGGGAGGGATGGAGAGAGGCCCGGGGCGGAGGCCGGGCGGAGGACCGAGGAGGTCCGGGGCGGAGGCCGAGGCGGAGGGCCGGAGGCCGGGGGCGGAGGCCGGAACGGCACCGTTGTTGGACCTTTTGCTGCGCCGGTTGAGGTTGGGCCGTCGCAGAGCAGCTGGCAGTCGGACACGGGTGAGGGCTGCACGGGCGTTCGCCGATGAGCACCGTGAAGGTTGAGCCTTCGCGTTCCCGGGCACGCGGCAGGTTCCCGGCCCTGCGGGGGGCGGCGGGTCAGCCCCAGCGCGAGGCTGGGGGCGGCGGCGGACCCCCAAGTCCAAAACAAGGGAAGGGAAACCCCAAAAAAAGAAGAGGCCCCCAAGACAAGAACAGCCTCAAAACGAGGGATAGCCCCAAAATGAGAACAGCCCCAAAACGAAAGAAGAACCCAAAACGAAAAAGAAGGCCCCCAAGGAAGAGACAGAAACCCCAAAGAAAGATGATCCCAGGTCCAGGTGGTACCCCAAGCCCCAAAACGGAGCAAGAGCCCTCAAAACCCCAAGGAAGAACCCTCCCAAACGCAAGATGGACTCCGTTGTCAGGGTGGACCCCAACCCCCAAACGTAAGGAAAGCCCGCCAAACAAAGAAGAAACCCCAAAGGAAATGACTCGAGGTCAGAGTGGACCCAAGCCCAAAACAAACCAAGAGCCCCCAAACGAAGAGAAAGACCCACCAAAGCGAAGACAAACCCTGGGGTAGGGTGGGACCCCAAGCCCCAACACACGAAGAAAGCCCCCAACAAAGCAAGAAACACCAAAGGAAAGACGATCCCGGCGAAGGTCCAGGGTGACGCCGCAAGCCCCAAAAACAGAAGAAGGAGCCCCCAAACGAAGAAGAGCCGCCCGAATCGCAGGCGACCCCGGGCCAGGGTCCCAGCCCCAGCGCCCGGATCCGCCCGGTTTGGGTGGACCCCCGCGCCCCGGCCCCGACCTTGGAGGCACGAGCCGCTGCGCCGGCTTGAGCTGCAGGGCGCCGAGCGGCTCGAGGCTCTCGGAAGTAGCTAGCAGGCGCGGCGGTGGG